CTGCGGATAAAGCTGCTGAACTCCGGTCAATATATTACACGAATGCTGCATGGATGTATGTCTATCCATGGATCATTACTCCCGTGACTGATGCTATCTATTGCTATAGGTACAACCCCATCCCTCAAGAATCGTTTGACTTTGAGGTGTATCATCAGTTTTACGATACTAACAATGTGCCTTCCGCGGATGATCCCCTTCTCCCCCATCGACTATCCCTTATGTTTATGATTCTTGCTATTGGTACTTTGATGGATACTTCACTACCGGCGTATAGCATCGAGGCCGAGAAGTACCACCAACTCGCCAAAGCCGCCTTATTTCGTGATTCATTCGTCGATTCCCCAACAATCAATGCCGTACAAGCCTTAGTGAGTTGTTTTATCTTACTCCGTAATTGTGCATATTGACTAACGTTGTGGGGATTACCAGTATCTGATGACCTTTTACCTATTCTTGTCAGATAGGAACGGCGCCGGATCAGGTTCTCGATGGACTCTTATGGGCATGGCAGTCAAGGTCGCACAAAGTGTACGCGCTCATTTACATTGCAATTGCAATTGTACTCACCCTGCCATTACTCCCAGATCGGTCTTCGTGAGTTGTTGCGTCTATCTCGTTCTTGACAGATAGTCTAACCATTTTCGGAAGATCGGGATAGCGGTCGATGGAAAGGAATCGACCCTCATGAAGCTCAACGCCGACGGGAACTTTTCTGGGAAATGTACACGTACGATTCGTGGCAGTGTCTGACATACGGACGGCCAACGTCCTTCACATCAGCACATTTCGATTGTAAAATGCCTCACGGAAATGATCCTTCTGACGAGCAAAGTTGTAAGTACTTCCGATCTTTTGACTTAATTGACTCTGAAACGAATTAATCTGTTGTACAGTCCACGCTTGGAAGCACCGGTTCTCTTCAGAATGCATGAGTCTTCTTCACGATCAGGCTTTTGGGGCTAAGACCCCTACTTACGCCACTATTCTTCAACTGGATCGTAAACTGCGTGCATTCCCCGTACCGCCGGTTCTTCAGGTAGCCGGCTTTGGCAGCTCAGAGCCCCGACCAGGAGGGTTCCCTCAGACGATCATGTTGACGCTGCAGCGCCACGTCGTCCTTGCGCTTAGGGAAATGAGCAAGTATTTTTGCTTCAATCGTGTATCAGATTCTGATATGTCTGGGTAGATTTATTGTACCTTCATCGCAGCTTCTTTGCTCGAGCCATCAGTGACCACCCAAAGGATCCGCTTGGCAGTCCGTACGGAACATCAGTCATTGCAGCATACCGCAGCGCCGGATCTTTGGTGGCCCTTATGCGCAATCTCCATACACAACTTCAAGAACCCAGCGAAAGAATCTGGTTCCTGTGGGGTCACATGTTTTCTTGTGCGGTGTGTAATCTCTCCACCATCATATTACGACCAGACCCATTCATCGCAATGTACAGATTGTATTGGGATCGATTGTTACACGTTGTCCATCCATGAGTCTGGCGCCATCTGCACTGGTACAGCTTGATTCAGCCTGTGAGCTGTTTTCGAAGACCGCCCGAGGTTTCCGAGCGGGGAAAGTTTTGGTAGGGTCTTTTGATCAATGGAGGTCCATGGTTGATTGACATCTTTCACTTACAGACGATCATGCTTCGTTTGCAAGAAAGGGCCCACATGAGTCTGGATGATTTCCGAAAAGGAAAAGGGTCTCCCATCAGCCGTTACTCTGTCCAAGATCCTCAGTCGCCAGTCGACGAAGACGACGAGTTGGCGATGTTGGGCGGAAAGTCGCGTCTGGTGAAGAAGGAGCCCTCGTCCCCACCCCTCATCAACCGATCTCCAAATTCACATGCCCCCGTCGTACCTCTCCCGCTAGCTCCCACTGCCGATATGGACTCGAACATGTTAGCCTATCTGGGCTCCTTCGGAACCAATCACCAACCAGAACCGCTGTCCTCGACGTCGTCCCATAACTCATTTTCCGACACGGATCTATCTCCTGTTTCCATGTACGGCATGTCATCACTCCCCTCCGCCCCCACCTTCCAGTCGGACCCATCGTTCCTCTCCCACTCGCAGACCATGCTGCAGAATCACCAACAACAGCAGCCGTCGCCTCCGTCGCATACGCATCGGCAGAATGGCAGTATAAGTAACGGTCATTCGCATGCCTTGAATGGCCTCCCGCAATACTTCCCCGTATACGACTATGGTATGGACAATGGGGTCAACGGATACGGGTCCGCGCCAATGTTGGACAACAATCCTCGACCAGGGCAGCAGCGTAGATCGAGTTCGGGGTCTCCGGAGGCTAATACGCTGCACACGACTTGGAATGACTTTGTTGAGATGGCTATGAATTAGGACATGTTTTGCGCCCTCGGCTTGGGGATAGACATACCTACTCTTATGGTGCCAGTGTAATACTTTTCAACTTGCTTGTGTACGATTGCTGTTATATTAGGATATTTCTTGTCTGGTTCTGTAAACTATTGTCTATCGTTAGGATCTATATTTACTGCTTAGACCTACTCTTTAAAATCTCTTCATTGCTGTTTTCTTTCATTTATAGTTGGATTGCAACTCGACTCAAAACTGAGAATGATCACGCTAGAAAAAAGTGTACAACTGAAATCTAATACGCAATTTTCTGATTACACTTGTGTTTTGATTAATTCTTACTAACCTTGCATACGTATAGTAATGAGCGAGTAGGGGTAGTGCACTATATCCTGTGCGAATAGTCTGTATATCTAGCCTCGCCACCACTTGCCAACCTTCGCCAAGCTGTACCGGACACTCTTCCCTATACCGGCGGTAACGATACCTTTGGCAGTCTGGATCGTTGCAGGTAGACGGACAATACGTTTCATCTCTGTGAGAACAGTTAGGTGAGGGTGAATGCAAGAAAAAAGAATGAGACGTACCGCCCTCTAACAGGGTATCCAACCTCTTGTCCGCAGCCAGGCGAATCCAAAAGCGTTCCTCCTCCTCATTCTGAGCCATATGCCGGGTCCTTAAGGCCTCCAGCAAGACCCTGGGCAATTTACGGAGATGTTTCTCCCTGGCCAGCGGGGAAAGATCTTGTTTCAGCCTACCAGCCTCGCTTGTCCAATCCACCCCAGGTAACCCACCCACGAGTCGTCCATATAGTTCTTTGAACTGTGCCTCCTGTTTCCGCACAATATTCCCTACTTTCCCTCTGTTCTCTGCCGGCAACACCATCCTTGGGTCCCCAGAGTAGCTTATTCCAGCTATCTTCTCAAACAGTTCTCGTTCTGAGAACTCTTCGGGAAGGAGGAGGAGTGCTGATCGTAGGGCACTGACGAGGTTGACCTGTTGTGTCAACCGTACCCGGGCATCATCCTTGATTATCCGGAGAGGTTTGTGCATACGTCCCGCAAGATACAGAGTACGCCAGTTGAGCAGGTCATCGCAGAGGTTGTCAACTGTGGTCACGCCGTACTTGATCGTCACCCCCTGATTCGGCATGGGTACATAGGCGTTGAACCACACGCCTGCACCGCCGGAAGACTGCACAGTTGAGACATAGTCACTGCCGAGCATCCTGGCGCTGAGCGGGTAATGCGATGGAAACTGATGCATATTGATGGAGTGGAAATGGCTTGGATGGGTGACGGCGAACATAAAGTCGAGGACCGGACCACCTTTGCCAGGCTCTGCGGTCATCTCGTACCCATCCTGTTCAAATACGCCGCTGCCATAGGCAAATGCATAACGGATGGGAGCCTCAAACTCGGCAACGACACTTTCTAAAAGGGCACGGGTGGAGTTGCTGACGGGGAGAAGCTGGTTCCTGCCAAAGCTGGGTGGTAGTTGGGGTCTGGAGAGCGGGGACGACGGTTCGTATGGGCGGGGAGCGGGATGGAGCCGTGTCTGTCGACGACGACGAGGCGGCGGGGAAGGCGGGGGAAGATTATTGGCGGCTGTCGGGACGCTTTCTGTCGCAAAGGCCCTTATGCAGCTGCGCGCAGGGACTCGAAGCATAGCGTAATGAAGATGAAATGATAGTCGTGTGAGGGCTATGACGGCGCCAGCTTGCTAAGATGCTTGATAGATGATGGAAGCAGGAAAGAGCGATTTCTGGTCACGTGCACCATTCAAGTGCGTTTCGGCCGCAAACGGTGCAGTCTCTTCAACCGTGCCGTGCCGAGTTTCTTCCCCACACAAGCTTGTTGGATGCATGTTCACCCGCAAAGATTCACTTGAGAATCTTGCAGTCTCCGGACCCGAAGAGTCCGGGCATTAATTAGTTGGGTCTATCAACTGCCTAGGTACAGTCAGTACATTCTTTCCTGCTGCCTTTCTTGCCTCCAGGCCAAATTTTAGCTTTGATCACAGACGACGGTTTTGGGAAGATCCACCCGTACACACAGTGATGAGACCGTCGACTACACTCCTTTGCATGTGAGAAGACACGAATAAAACATACTGGTCCAGCTGCGGGAAAGACAATCGAGTCAGTTCCCCTCGATCGAAGCTGTAAGCCACCAGAAATCTGGGGTCCCATATTTTAGGAGATGATCTTCAAAAATAGACAAGACGTCCTCGCTCACTAGCACGGGTAAAACGGCCGGCGTCGGCATTACAACAAATCGATATTTCCATGCCCAAGATCAAAGCCCTATTTCTTGTCCCGACACGAGAGCGTCAGTATGTAGAACCATGAGTGTGAACGCAATGTCGACTGCGAGAAGAACCTTACAATCTCTTGTGGGTGGGAGAACTCGCTATCCAGTCAATACATACCTTAAGCTTGACGTTCGCAACTTGAACTACTTCGTATTGTGCTACGAGTCCATTGCATTCCTTCACTACTCCCGGTCGAAGGTACTGAGGACAAGAAGGAAGAAAAGGCCTGAGGAACAGTGTTTCCGTACTTAGAACTTAACACTTGTTGCAATTGATCATATGCAAATTTCGAATAGTCGTTCGGACTATTAGTGTCAAAGTTTTAGGTATAGCCCCAATATTAAGATAGCGTCGGCCGGCTAGCATAATGGTTAACGCGTCAGTTTCCGGTGTATACATACCACAAGCTGAAGATTCCATGTTCGAGTCCTGGGTTGGTCGATATTTTTGTTCAATTATCGCTTTTTTCTTCGAAAATTCGTTACTTCAAGCCTTGAATTTTCTGAAGTTTGAAAACCCAGCATGTCGAAGGAGCCTGGAGGAGGAACAACAAGCGTCGTATATCTGCAATCGGGCCAATTTTGATTAATCAAATAACCGATAAGTTGCCGGTTAGCCGCAAGTCTAGAGTCTAGACGGCCACTACAACGACTTGTATTATCAAGTCCATTCAAATTATTGGACTCTTAGTCTCCGAAGAATGAACATCCCGCTGTTCTCCTTTACATCCTCCGTCTCAACGGCATCATGCCCAGCCAGCAGTCCAGGTTGCGTCCAGACACTTCAGCAACAAATCCTTCGAATGTCGTCTAGGTGCTGTGTCCGTCAGAACTCAGTCTCCTGCAAGCGGTATATTTGGTCCGCCAAGGATATGGAAGAACTACTGTATCACAGGCACCAAAATGAAATTGATTGGATTGCCACAAAAACGACCGTTCAATTCGTCCTGATCGACGATGATCGCTTTTGCGTTTCAAATAGTTTAATTATATTGTGTTCTGTATCCTGTTGAAGGGGGATACCCGAGGGTCGTATGGTATGAATGGATGGATGCATCAAGGGATGAATATGGGATCTGGAACTAAAGCATCAAGTGTCTTCGAAGGACAACTTGTTAATTAATACATCCGGACCACGGGAAAGAAGAGTTGTGGAATGCTTGTGCCTTTGTGAGGTAGCCATTCTGGACCTCGTAAGGAGCATCGAGGACAGTATCATGGGGTTCCCGACGACCAAGGGTGTCTGAATGATAGAAGCTATAGTCGTCGACAGGCATGAGAGAAGACTCAGAGACGGACGTGCCTAGCCGTGGGGATATAGCACAAGACTGAATTGATTCCCCTCTCTGGGGAAAATCAGGACGTCCGAGTCGGAGGAATGTGGGTTGACGCAGAACCCATGTCCATGCGATGGAAAAAGCTCCGTTAACGTTTGGGTTTTCTGGTGTGCGCCAAGAGTTGAACTTGCAGATCTCTGTGTATCCGTATCAGTGAAAATCAAAGATCGTGCGACGGGCGGTGCCTCGGAGGGCTGTACGTCACAGCTACCCATGTAGCTCTGGCGACGTAAGGCCTTCAAACACGAGAGCACATCATACGAACGTGCCCAAGATACAGCGAATATCGGCATATCCTTCGTGAAGGATCACAGAACATGATCATGTGTGACCTCCTGGGCACAACAGAGGGAATCGGAGCGGTGACAACGTTCCTAGCAGAGTCGGGGGCCTTCACAAAAACGGGAATCCCAAGAAGAGAAAGGGGATTGCCGCTGTGGGAGGACGAACCCGAGCCACACGAAGAAGAAGAAGAGGACCGGGGGCAGTGATGGGCCCTCTTATTTATATATTTATTTTTTTCCCGTGCCAGTAGACCCATATCACACTAAACGCAAACAAAAACGAGACACAGAAGCGATACGTAGATTTCCACCTTATAGTTATACAACCCTTAGAGCAGAACATTAGAATAGCAACGTAAAACGAGTAGCGGTATAGACGTACGTAGTAGAGTACTATACCCCCGCGTCTTCGCCCATCACGAGGCGTGTTGCGGGCCAGAAATCCAGAGCATCATCATCATCATCATCATCTGGCGACGTAAGTAATGGACGGCGTAGACAAATCTGAAAGTGATCACCTTTTCAAGGCAAGCAGCTAATGAGGATTGAACGCAAGCGGCGTGCCGCGCCTATCAAGGTCTGGAATTCCGAACAAAGCAACAGGCGATTTTACGTTAAACGGTTTGCAGAATTGCGTTACTCAATAAACTGAGGAAGCAAATGCCATTGCAAAGAATGAAAAACCTAAGTGGAAGTGGGCCTCTCTGAGAAATTGTAAACGCCCCACAAAAAGGTGGGGAAAGTCTTCTGCGGACATCCCCACGCTGCAATCAGTCTGCGAAGCCCAGGGCGTCCTGATATGTGCTCCTGCGTCGAGGCTTCGCATGTGTTGTTAAGACAGCCAGTATCAACGTGTCGGCCAAAACCAGAGCGCCGAGCGACATTACCTTCTCTTTTATCCCCACAGGGTTGAAAGGTGCTTAGCCACCGAGCCAGGAGAACTAAAGCGAAAAAGAATCGTGATTGAGGAAACCCAACAGCAGGCACGTTGTTCAATGAGCTTATCATTGTTATATTTTTCTGATGAACGTTCGCTGTCGTCGTCTTTTGTTTCCTGGAGGGGTACTATCAAGCGGCGTGGCGGTAGAGACACCACGTTGTTACGTCTGCCATCTGGCATCAAAAGTTCCGCAGGGGGGATAACACCGCCTCTAGACTTTGAAGTGTATGGATTGTTATGGATACGTGAGACTTGGTTGATAAGAGATAAGACCCTCAAAACGCTTCTGAGCCAGAGCATGTCCAGAGCATGTAGTTACAACACGTTTTAACAGAGAAACGAGCGCCTGTCGGCGAAAAGTGGGGGCATCTTCGGTGCTTGGTGACTGAGGAAGAGTCCAGATTTTTTTTCTGGGCAGGACGAGAGCGCGAGACAGAGACTGAGCACTTCACCTTGGCTGAATGGAAGAAGCGGCGTAGGTTATTTAATTTCAAAGTCCGCACTAAGCGACCGACTCGGACTCGGACCGTCGAGACGTCCTCTATAGACCACCGCAGCGAACTCAAAAGCCCCGGTGCTTCTCTTCTATTCTACAGTACTTATAGCCTATAGATCCTTAAACTTCCTCTTAGATTCCCTTACCTTTTCTTCTGTATCAGTAATAGTGAGTCACTTCACAGTCACGCCGCGTCTCATCGCTCACATTTATTTTTGCAGATTTTTTTTCTCGTGTCCCCCCCACCTGGCTATGCTATCGACATGGCCGTAGCGTCCGCAAGCGTGATTCATACCATCCGAACTCCCTCCTTCTTGTCTACGGTCAAGCCTTTCACGAAAGAGACGTTGAAGATTCAGGCAGTGCTCGATCCCACCCCTGCTATCGATGCCTCGAGGCCCCAGTTCATACCCGGGAAGAAGAATGCTGCTGTTTTAATCCCCCTCTGCAATCTCGATGGTGTCCCGGGGATCCTCTTTGAGGTCAGGTCGAAGTATATGAGGACTCACTCCGGTGAAGTCAGGTGAGCGCGTCAATCATTTATCGCTTAACTGTAGCTGATCTGTCTGTCTCTAGTTTTCCGGGAGGAAAGGTGGATGAAGTAAGTATCATTGTCTTTCATGTTTTTATCCCGCCCTGACTGGTGATGCGTAGGAGGACGACTCTTTCAAGGCAGCCGCCATTCGAGAGACGCACGAAGAACTGGGCGTAGGCCCAAAGCAAGTGGAAATCCTGGGTGAAATAGGGCCCCCAGAGATCAACATGAGGGGTGACATGTCGGTCTGGCCGCTAGTCGTACGTGCCCTTTTCTCTTTCATCAGTCGCATTTTTGACGTCTGCCATAGGGATTCATCAACTCTGAGAAGCAAGATTTCTCGTCGTTGGCAGACAACGAACCTCTTCCTTCGGTTTCGATATCCGACATCATGAAGCAGGTGTCCCAGGCAGAAGTCGACAACGTTTTCCATTTGCCATTGTCTGCGATGACTTCTCCTTCGCGTCTTCGGCCTTCCATGTTTCGCGGACAACGCCCTTACTGGGCAATAGACGTCTCCGATTTACAATCTTCGCAACAAATAGAACATAAGATGGATACCCACAGCGACATGTCGCTGCCTCACTCTAAGCCAGGGACTAATGATGACAATGAAATAGGGATTGGGAAGGACAACAAATTAGAAATATGGGGTTTAACTGGGTGGTATCTCTCGATGTTTATGAGAACCCTGAAGATGTGTTAGTAGTGTATATTTTGTTGTATTACTTGCTTGGAATACGGTTGTGACGAAGAAGTTGCGAAGGTCGGTAAGGCAGCTGAAGGTATACATCAACTCTATGGTGAAAGACTAGATCAAGGATGTCTATTTTTGAAGTTGTGACTCTGTCTAGATTCAAGATGAGCTGCTGAAGGAACTGACGATCAGTTCGGAGTTTATTTTGTTGTCCTGTAACGTTGACGTCAGCTCTGCGCGTCCCAAAGGACGTTTAGGCAAATCCTGTCCACTAAATTTAGCCCGTCCCTTTCTCGTAGGTGATGACCTGAAATAACAGATATGTGAGTGAAGATACCTATTGGAACAGAAGTCTTTAACACATAATACTTGAGCCTCCCTGAATTGCCTCAGGAAATTTTTGTATTCCGGACTGCCAGTGAACGTAGAAGCATTCCTCGACGTTCCAATACAGGGGTTTCGCCAGAATACGCGTCGTCGTAGCGAGTGACCAATACGCGGCCTTCTACTAATTGCGATTGGTTGCAATGAGTTGCCAAGAGAAGCCTCACCATTCAAGTATTTCGCGCTGTCAGTTAATGCGGACGTTCATTCTCCTACTATCACCACAGATGGAAGAATGAGAATGTTTCATCCCTCTCACAGGCCACAGCGATATGTTCTTCGTAAGTGAAAGCATTCCCCTGGAAGTAGAATGAATGAATAATGTGACACAGGGATGATAAATCATGAACAGACCGTATCAGAGAACATCTGATAAATGTGAGTGTCCATGGCTACGCACTCGAATTCTGAAAAATGTATGAAGTCGTTCCAATAGGTGAGATCTTTGAATGCATCGTGGATAAGAAGTGGCTCCGGGACGCCATAGGGATAGTACCTGACAGATGCCACGATATCAAACCAAGTGCCAACACATCATACGTCGAACCACCGAATATTTCCATAGCTGTCGTACTGACGAACAAGGCGTCAAATCGGTGTGGAAACTGTCTTCAAGGATAAGAGACTTGTTTGGTGACCGCCGCTAAGTCGTCGCTATAAGCTCTAGAGCGTAGTCTGACATGAACAATAGGAACCAGAGCGGGGAGGATATCCGCCATTCACTCGTTCGAGGGCACAATGATAAGAATAACATTGATGGTATCTGAAA